TTGAAACTATATCCCAGTCTTTGTTTCATGCAAAAAGACCCAGTAAACACGGAGATACGATGATATAAAGTTAATACATTTCAAAAGTATGAAAAATGGAAGCACATATTTGAATATCTTCGCCGTATTTTATCATTTTACGAAACTGTAGATCCTGCTCAACAGGATGTATATGTGTATTTCTGTCGAAAGTACTGGCTTGAAACTATATGCCAGTCTTTGTTTCATGCAAAAAGACCCAATACACACGGACATACGATGATATAAAGTTAACACAGATATATTTCAGAAGTATGAATAATGGAAGCACATATTTTAATATCTTCGCCGTATTTTATCATTTTACGAAACGGAAAATACTGGAAACTGTAGATTCTGCTCAACAGGATGTATTTACCAGGGAGGGGGTGAGGTAATCAGGTAAACGGAGTGATACGAAACGAGACGAAAAGAGACGAAGAGGGACGGCGGGAGACTGCGATTGAAGTAAAGTGACAGACAACCATTGAGAATTTAGATATAGTTAGATAGATTTAGAGTTTTGAAGATTCAACTATGATGAAGAGAACTCTGAACGTGAGTCAAGCTTTAAGCTTGTTTTTTGACATGGAGGAGGAGGAATCTGTGATGTTGCCCTCTGTGTCGTATTGACAGAAACCGCATTGAAGCGCGGCACAGATAAAGACAGAAAAAACTGATTTTTGTTCATAATATGTATATATATATTTGTATTATATTTATAATAACACTTTTGCCTTATGAGAATGAAATCCCATGCTACCTCAATCAAACTTTCACATTATCATAGTGACATCCCATATTTCCAGCTTGTAAATGGTTTCGTTGTGGATGTTTGTGTTACCTATATGAAAAATAATATCATTTTCAAAATCTGTTTTTACGTTTTTTTTTTGTGATTATGGGTCCAAAATGTTCATATAGTAGAAGATCACTGCTCTAAACAAAGTCAAAAATCCTACATCCAAACGAAATAAATATAATTAATTATGATGAATACGTTAAGTCTTGTTCATTGTTTTTCACTTTTATTAAATGTTTGATATTTCCGGTGGAAATGGTGGACTATCGGACATTCAAAATGCAGCATATTTTCACTCTTACACACATATATTCTCCTTTTACATACATACATTTTCACTCACACACATATTCTCCTTTTACATACATACATACATTTTCACTCTCACACACGATACTCACACATTCATACATTTTGCTCTCATATTATCATATTTCAATGCACACATTCATATATTGTCACTCACACATTCATGCATTTTGTTCTCATATTCATATAATGTAATGCTCATATTTATACATTTTGCTCTCATGCGAAATCTACTCAAACAAAGTATGTCATGGTAGTGGTCAGCTGTTAAACACAAAAGTGTATCTTAAGGGCTGTAAATTATAATAAGCCTGTTGTCAATTTTAGACACAGGCTTATTATATTTACAGCCCTTAATAACATTCATTTTCTGGACTCAATGTGTGTCTTGGCCGTTTTCTTTGTTCCAAGCAAACGAGTGCTTTTTGTTTTGAAATCACTTCCGCGAGTTTCGCGGGCCTCCCCCCTCGCTCCACTGACCATTAGACCATTTAGTAAGGTAACAAGCAAAAGGGCAAAAACGCCTCTCAGACGCTCTTTCCGTTTACTTTATTAATAAAGAAAAACAAATGGTCCGTAGATACACGGACTCATATAGCCTATGTATGTATACTGTAAGGAGAATGTATGTGCGTGAGAGGACCAGTATGAATTACGGGATAGAAATATGCAAACACAAACCTACAGACTGGGGGATGGGAGATCACAGGAGTGGGGGGGGGGGGGTTCCTCCACACATTCCGATGGCCAATTCGTTTTAAACAAAGAGTTCGCAACACAGGACAGCATAGGCAACATGGGGGGTGGGGGCTGGTGAACGGTCTGGTCAATGTTTGTAAACACAATCCCCAGGATGTGTCCTAATCAGGAGCCGGGTAAATGAGAGACTGAGGAGCCCCCGAAAAACAGATCCCGAAATAGCTCGTCCTGGTTTCCGCAGCCGATAGGCCTACAGTATGGTGTCTGTTATGTCAGTTATTTTAAATAAAACGTTAAAAACTGAACTTGAAATGGTTTCCTCTTTTTATTTTATTTATCATTTTCGGGACGGGGAGACGTGTGTGATTAAAAATTAATTTGCAGAAATGTAAAGTGATCTAACTAAGTTCTATTCATATTCTTGACGGGAAGAGCAGTGTAAATGGGTGGCCATATGCATTTGAAAAGCAATATAAATCACACAGTTATTATACAATAGGCTATAAAAGCACCATCGATAACCATTACCTTTATCCAATTCAAACTTTGGACGGGAAAAAAGGAAGGTGTACATGGTTGGGCTATACTGTAGGCCCAGGGGCGCCGGGCGCTGTAGGCAGGGAAGGCTAAGCCTTCCCAAATATTTGTGTAACTGCATCCTGGTAAAATAAAAATATAATGTCTTTGACATTAGCGCTGCTATGCAGCCACCTGTGCCCTGTACCACGAAGCCAGTTCAACAGACCCTGGATATGCTTGAGTTATCTTAACTAACCCTAACAAACGATCTCGCTAAACGGTCCTACGACGCTGGTTATCAACTCGGTAAATCAAGCCAGGGTTTCTCTCTCCAGCTGAGAACGCGTTCACGTGAAAGGGGCGGGGTTAGCTACATTTGACCAATCACAAACAGGGACAAGTGTACTGACAGCGCAGCATCATACTTCATTAATGAAAAGTAAACTAATATTAGACAAATATGAACTTTAAACATCCATGATGACTGTAATGGCAATTTCCTTTTCCTATGTCCTATATATTTTTGCCGTTACTTTCACAGAAGGGTTGAAAAGTGATCCAGACGCAGACACAAACAGATGATTTCCCGGTCCTTAGTTGTGGTTTATGATGATGTTTATTCGTCTTTACATACCAGGGTTAATTTAGCGTTCTAGTGATTCTATGAGCATCTGCCGGGCTGGTGGAATCGGTATGCTCTTCTCCTACTGTGTCCACCCCTCTCCTGTGTTGAGATCTTCATATGAAGTGAATACTTAAAACGAAAGTTAATTGAGATCATGGTATGAAGTGAATACTTAAAAAACGAAAGTTAATTCATACATGATCAATCATATTCTTGTATAAACCCATAATGAGAATGCTTCTTGACGGTTTTTGAATATGTATCTATGCTTACAATTTTTCTGTTGCTATTTTGATAACTTTGCGTTTTGAAAAGAGGGTGTTGTGAGTTTTCATAGTATGTTTAATACTTAAAAACGAAAGTTAGTTATAATCAAATATAATCAATTATATTCTTGTATAACCCACAATGAAAATGCTTCATATTTTAGGTTTTCTATAGTTACAGTATAAACAAAACAAAGTGGTGTTTAGGTTGAGTTTTCTTCCTCTCCTCTGGCAGCAGTCCACAGGGAGGAGGGGGGGGGGGCTTCACACTAAGGGGAGAAACATTAGAGGCCAAAGAGAGTTCATGTCCTTTTTACCTCATATGAAAGGGTGTCTTATCCCATAACAGCTGTGGAACATGTTGAGGCATGTTCAGCCTTGTACATTATAGGACATGCGCAGTTCTTCACAAATTACGTGTAGGAGGAGGAGTTTGTTTTTTTGGGTTTAGGATCCAGTTTTTTTAGCATAAAGAGACTGGTTTTTTGAGAGAGCGCGAGAGAGGGGGGGTGACCCCTGGTAGACTCTCTCCCGGTAGGCTGTGTGCTTCAGAGCTGGGTTAATAGCTCTCGGTAAGGTCCTTCCAGACGAGGTAAATATCTCTCGAATGTATTGGTTGTTGGCTGAGTGGAATGATTTGATGAGAGATGTGTGTATGAACATTATAAATACTGCCATCTGTGAGGAAAATCTCCCCTCCGAAATTGCAGATAGGTATGGGTTTTTAAATGTTATACCCGCCGTCTGTGTCTGAAAAAGTGTATGAACATTATAAATACTGCCATCTGTGAGGAAAATCTCCCCTCCGAAATTGCAGATAGGTATGGGTTTTTAAATGTTATACCCGCCGTCTGTGTCGGAAAAAACGGTATGAAACTGATGTGAATTGAGTTGGTGAAAATGAAAAAGTTGAATGCGCTTTTTATTGTCACCGGTCTTTTTACGAGGAAATACCTCTAAATTCTATCGGGAGAATTTTAAAATGTCACAACTGAAATGGGCAGTTGAAATTAAAACATTTTGGTAATAAATGTAAGACTGTGAATTAAAGTTTCATTTGAACATGATCACAGCACCAGGTTTTTAGTATGATTATAATGTTGTAAAGAGAGAAGGTAAAAACCCTGTATTAGTTTGGACCTATTTTTCTTCAAATAAACTGAATCCCACCTGTTGGATTGGGATCCTTTAAAAGACACCTGTGCCCTCCTCTCCTGCGTCAAAGGTAAGATTGCACCCTGTCACACACACTTAGGTAGGAGCACACTCCATTTACTGATACCAAAATCCTTCGGGATCGCTTAAACAGATTAAAAAAGAGTTGTCTGAATTGAAACAGCAGTTAATTGAAACCTTGGTTCTTCGGGAAGTTAGTAGAGGTGAGATCTTGCTGACGTTGGTGGATCTGAGCCAAGCCGCAAACTTACATAGACTCAATAACTTCGGAAAGGTCAATTAGTAGGTCAGAATAATTTACCGGAATAAATTATCAGGACCACCAAAACTCTAAACACCTGTCACCTATGACCTCCTTATATACACCCGGTGCAGCTAAACCCCGCCACCCAGTGTTCATAAATAATATTGCACTATATATATAACTTAAATAAACTGACACACCAACATCACCCACAAAATGGCTCTTACACACCGGCCCCTAATTGGCTTTAGTATGAGAAAAAAGACAATTACCAATAAATAATAAAGGAGCTATACAAAAGGTGTGTATGTGTTAGCATGTAATTCTTAAAGAATTTGTAGTTTATTTTCTTCTCTTCTTCTCCCTTATTTTAAGGGTCATCGGTCTTTGCTGTTCTTTATGTCTCAGCTTCAAGAGTGTCGTTTTTACTTTAAGAAGCCAGGCTACAGCAGTCTTCAGTTTTCTCCATGATGAGAAGTGGTTTATCAGAGAGTTTGTGGGGCTCAATGAATCTTTGACAATGACGTTCATTGTGATGTCCTGCTTGATTTCTGGATCATTGCCAGGGATATCTGAATCCACATGAGAGTTTGGCCATTCTCTGTCTGGCTTGGAGAGAAACTCAGGTCCCTTGATCCATCTCCTACAGTTTAAGAATTGGTCTGCCTTTAGTCCTCTAGAGGCTTCATCTGCAGGATTTTCCTTTGTTCCAATATACCTCCATTGTGATACATCCATGGCATCCCTTATAAGAGAGATCCTGTTTGCTACAAATGTTTGAAAGCGTTTGTTTTCGTTTTTTATGTATTTTAGCACGGTAGTGCTATCAGTCCAGAAGACGGATTGGTCCAGTTGCAGCTGTAATTCGTTCTTCAGCATTGTGTCGATTTTGACAGCCAGGACTGCTGCTGTAAGTTCCATTCTGGGAATTGTAACTTGTTTCAATGGTGACACTCTGGATTTTCCTGTTATGAATGAAACATGCACTTCTTTGTTATCATTCTCCAGTCTTAGATATGAAACAGTGCCGTAGCCGCTTTCACTAGCATCAGAAAAGTGGTGCAGTTGTGCATGTCTGACATGACCAAAGCTTGTTGGCTTCATGCACCGGTCCACTTGAAACTCTGCCATCTTATTGATGTCTGCTAGCCATCCTGACCATTGCTGAACTAAAGCTTGTGGTATGTTTTCATCCCATCCAAGTTTCTTCCTACAAAGCTCCTGCATGATCAGTTTGGCTGGTAGGGTGAATGGTGCCAGAAATCCCAAGGGGTCGTATATAGAGCCGACAACAGACAAGATGCCACGTCTTGTATATGGTCGTTCTTGTGCAGCAATTTTGAACTTGAACACATCCGTTTCAACACACCAGTGCAATCCCAGTGCTCTTTCCATTGGTAGCTTGTCCCTATCCAAGTCCAAGTCCTTGGTCTCTTTGGTTCTGCTTTGTTGTGGAATGGATGCTAATACTGCACGGCTGTTGCTGATCCACTTTGACAGCATAAATCCTCCCTTTCGACAGAGAGCAATCAGGTCTCCTACCATTTTTACTGCTTCTGACTCAGAGGGCATGGATTTTAGGCAATCGTCCACGTAGAAGTTATTTTTAACTGTGTCTACCACATCTGCTGTAAAGTTATCTTTGTTGTCCTCAGCAGTCTTTCTCAATGTGAAGTTTGCACAACTGGGTGATGATACTGCTCCAAAAAGATGTACCTTCATCCGGTATTCAGCAAGATCCCGTTGCACATCACCGTTGGGCCACCACAGGAATCGCAGATAGTCAATATGCCCCTTTGACACCTTAACCCAGGGGTGCCCACACGTTTTGGGCTGGTGAGCTACTTTTGAAATGACCAGCTCACCGAGGTCTACCAACCAAAAATAAAATCCCAAATTGCAAGGGTTGCTCAATAACACGTTTTATTTATACATGGGATAATAGGGCTGCAACAAACGACTAATTTGATAATCGATTAATCTATCGATTAATGAAACGACTAATCGACTATTCGGACTATTACTGTATGCCTTGCACAATTTCTCAAACGCTCTTGTTTAGCCATCAACTTTTAGATTTAGCTTGAGGTTGTTTTAGGCATGTGGAAACTAACAATGAAGACAATAAAGATGAATACTTGATTCAAAAATACATATATTATTAAATTAACAAATTGTGAACAAAACTAACATTGCTTTTTATTTAAATTAAATAAATAATATTTCACATCAAAATAAACAACAATGTTTTAACAAATCGTATTAAATAATGTGATGACAGAACTGTGAACAGAATAGCTGAAACTTTAACAAAATAAAGAGTAACTCAGTTTCCTCTAATCATTAACCCATGTTTGTATAATGGAGTTAACTCCGTGTGTTGCTGCTAGCATACATAACACCTGACGTGGAAACGTTACTCGTGGATGGGGCTACAGAGCTGCTAGAAAGACAGTCGAAACCGGTGCATTCCTCCGTCTGAATGTGGTGCACTTTTGCTAAATGTTTAGACACATTGCTCGTGTTACCGCCCTCACATGCTGAACTCTCTTGGCAAGGAGCATTGTCCGCCTCAAGACGGGTAACATTTAACCACACCTTGGAGCGCTACTCTCCGCCATCTCCTCCGTGTGTTGCTGCTTGTAGCAGCCGCGTGTGTGTAAACTGCCCCGCCCCCTCGCGCACAGACGGGGGAGAGAGATCTCGTCTCGATTGGAAAGATCGAAAATACACCGACATTTGTTTGTCTTTTTGCATGTTAGAAACGAGTTGGCGACACTAAGATTGCGAGATAATATTTGTGTAGCAATAATACATACAGTCGGCGTCGCGTCACAGTTGGGGGCGGGGCATTTCGAGGGGGAAAACAAAACTTTCCCCCTCGCCCGGAGCACTGTAAGCGCGCGGTTTTTAAATGTTAAACAAACATGTCATACATTGATTCATTGCAGCCCATTTCCAGGGATAGATACCTTAACATGTTGTATTTAATAGGATCGGATTCTTGTCCATATCTTATTAAAGAGTGGACGAATGATCCGACTGAATGGCCTGAAGTTTCATTCCCTGATATCTTCTGCTACCTGGTTGAATCACCCGGTAAGAGGCCAAATCACGTTAACTGATGAATTAAACCTCACATAATGTATATGTCTAACAAGGAAATTAGCACGTTTTAGTGAATTTGTTCATCACACAATAGTTGTTATTGCACAATAGCCATCATGAGCTGCATATACATATTGGTTATTGACGACTCGGTACGTTATCACGCAGGGATTTACACACACACGCCAAAAGAACTATCGGTCCCTGGAGGCACACAACTGTTTTACAAGTGGCTTTGTTGGAGTTGTGCTCCATCATAAACTACCTTCATCGGATACCTACCTGTTTCGATGTGATGTAAAGCCATCCTGGAGGGTGACAGAGAAGCGCAAAGGCTGGCTTCCACATCTGCCAATCTATGCCATACCTGGGGGTTTCATGTGATGGCTATGTTTCCTGTGACTGCTGTGGTGAGGGTGTTATAGAGGCTAAGTGTCCTTACAGGTGGGGGCAAGACACCTCTACTGGGTATCAACAGTGGCTTGAGGACAAAAGAGGACATCTGGAAAGTCTGACAAGCTTAAAGAGAAGTCATGCATATTTCACTCAGGTATTTCAATATTTTACCTGCATATACCTGCACACCTCTAATAAGTCTGGAGCATTTTGTGCAATTATCCAAGATAATTATCCACAGATGGCATACTGTCTATAATGTACATATTAGTGTTATGATGATTGCATTGCATTTGACAGGTCCAAATGCAGATGTTTGTTACCAAACGGATGTATGCAGACTTCATCACTTGGACTCCTCAGACCTGCCTGATATTCAGAGTACAAAGAGATGAGGACTTCATCAGTGGTGCCATTAATGTGATGCAAACATTTTGGTCACAACACATACTACACAAACTCCGGGAGCTGAAAGATGCACAGGTAGGTGGTTGAATTTCCTATCAGTGTAAAAATGGCAACAAATAAGTCACTGTGACAGTTACGTATTTATTTATACCAATTCATTTTGAAGCATATTATAGCTATTTCATTCAGTATCAACATAGACTATATGTACAAAATCAAATATCACAAAGCCTATACATTTATTTACAACATGAAAACATACATAGGCTACAAATAGAATGAATAATGGGCTGTACAATATTGTCTATACTTGTGACTTTGATACTAATCAGATAATAATTGTTGATATTGTTGATCAAATTGTTCTTGTGTTCTTTTCAAAGTGGGTGTACTCATTTATGATAAGCACTGTATATGTTTCTGCTAAGTAGGCAGAACACAGTCCAGTCAAAAGCAGCACAGGGAATGACCCATCAGGCAACACAAGTGGCAGCAGAACATCAGGCATCAGAGGCAGAGCGTCAGGCAACAGAGGCAGAGCGTCAGGCATCAGAGGCAGAGCGTCAGGCAACAGAGGCAGAGCGTCAGGCATCAGAGGCAGAGCGTCAGGCATCAGAGGCAGAGCGTCAGGCATCAGAGGCAGAGCGTCAGGCATCAGAGGCAGAGCGTCAGGCATCAGAGGCAGGGCGACAGGCATCAGAGCCAGAGCGTGAGGCAACAGAGGCAGAGCGTCAGGCATCAGAGGCAGAGCGTCAGGCATCAGAGGCAGGGCGACAGGCATCAGAGGCAGGGCGACAGGCATCAGAGGCAGGGCGACAGGGTGTGCAGCAGCAGAGCAGCACTGAGATCAGTTCAGGGACCTGTGGAAAGACAAACAACAGGTGGTTTTGATTAGAAAGATCCATTATGTCTCAACTGAAACCTGTTAAATGGCACAATTGGAACAATAATGACTTCTTTGTTGTATAAAAAAGTTGCATAAAATATTGTTCTCTGATGCTCATTATTAAATGACTGCACATTGATTTTGTTCTTACTCTCAGATTCTGTAACGGTTGTACATGACACTGCCAGACAGGTTCATTAGTGCTGCACAGACATGCACAATCCTATCCATCATGGCCTCTTCTCTCTTCTGTCTCTCACCCTGCAGTCTCTTCACCAGGCGCAGAGGAAGTGGGCCATCCAGAATGTGGTACCGGCTCTTCAGGGCCCCAATGACTCTCTCTGCAGACCACAGATCGCAACATCTTCGGCTGACAGTTGTTTTCGGCCCCTCGTGAAAGACGGTGTGATGAGCTGTGCACCCAGAACAGCAAAGTCATCCTTCAAAGTGAAGCCCCTGTCGGCTAAAATCTGAAATAAACATCACAAATACTTAAAAACACTACTTTACTTCAACAGCAACTCAAAAATGGTAACTATGGGTAAATAATAAATTCACAAATAAGACTTAAATTAGAAACAAAAAAACAGTTCAATTGTTACCTGATCTCCTGCATGGTGGAACTTCTGAGATAAGAAGTCTGAGTTCCTTACAATATGCACATCTGAAGCCCTCCCTCCCCAGCCTTTGGAGAGATATGTGATTGAGCCAGATGGGTGACATGCAATGAAATACTTCACTGTTGTCCAGTTTTTGTATTTTGAGTAGGTGATAGCTCTGTGAGAAGAGACAGTCGTTAGTAATACTTATCTATAAATTGTGTACATATACACAGACAGCCAGGTAAGTATTACAAAAACCCGACACTTTATGCATGCTATCAAAAAGAAAAATATCTCACCTTGTTTTCAGCTTCTTTGAGTGTTCAATTCTGATCTCAAAGCAGTCGATAATTGCAGTCACTCTAGGGTACTGGAAGAGAACCTCTGCTGGTACTGTGCTTCCGATACACTCTATCAGGCCATTTAATCAAAAAAGAAATGTTGGCGTACATAAAATCCAACCATCGGGAGAATACATCCAGGAAAGTGCTATATCTATGTGCCAGGTCAAATATTCCACACATCATATCGGTTGAGGGGTTCTGCCGCAGTTTCACCAGAGTAATAAAGAGCTGGTCTTGTGTTGACATCTTGGATGTTTTCTGTGACTTAACAAACTGTACCAGGTACTGATGAAGAGTGTCAAATACTGTCCATGACAGGCCTGTCATGACTTTACATTTGGTGTCATTTTCTCTCAGTGTTTACCGACATTTTCAACGTCTCCAATTCTCTGATGGCTTCAGCTCGCTCCTTCATGGCCTCATCTCTTTCTCTTCTTAAATTATACAATTCTTCATAAAGTTGTTTTCTCTTTAACTCCTGAAGAGGTATGGGAGCTTCTGATGTTGGGGATTCTGGTGCCGGGCCTTCTGATGTTGGGGATTCTGGTTGGGCAGACTGAACACCCTCACGCTTCCTCCTTCTCTCCAGTCTCTGAAGTACTGACCTGGGAGACTTTGTCTTTTTATGTGGGAACAGCGAGGGTGTGTAGTCTGGGTGGGCTATGTCCTCGTTTTTTAAGCCTAGGGCAAGACAGTTCACAAACGAAATGAGAAGGGGATAGAAGGGGGTGAAATACATTTTAACTGCAGAAAGCTCGGAAGCTACCACCAGTGTTGTTAGCATAGCTGTGTTTTTGTATACTCAAGCAAGGTAGCCTGCATAACGTAGTAGTTAGTTAACTTCTCTTAAAACTAGTAATTGAACATTCATGTTAACTACGAAACAATTTAACACTGTTATTGTGTGAATAACGTTGTCATACCTGTAATGAAGTGCTGACTACAGACGTACACGTTTGGATTTTGGATCCCACAGGTGGCCTAACTCATCCTCCCGACGGATCGCTTGAAGCCACCGGGTTCTTCTCCTGGGCTCTGTGCTCCCGTTGGGCAAAATATAACATTTTAGATTTGGATTTTTAAGCTTGTTAGTTGTACAAAAGGGCACACTGCAGCTCCTGGGCATTGTGGAAGCCGGTTTGTTTTCCCCCTCGGCGCGAACCGGATGTGACGTTTTGTGGGCGTTCCCTCGCTTGCCGACTGTATCTATACAGACCTTTCTCTTTCTCAACTCGCTACTCGGAGGGAAGTCGCTGTCATATGCCTTGTGAACACTCCGATAATGCCTCTCCACGTTACCTTTCTTTGGCAGAGCGACGCTTGCTTTACAAATAAGGCAAATAACCTTTGAATGTGACATCACAAACAAATATTCTTCCTCCCATTCTGGGTGGAAGTGGTTTGTCTTTAGCTTCTTGCTCGGTCCCGCACTCATTTTGTTGTTTGTCTCTTGTTTGTCTCTTTAACTTAATTTGAGTTTTCCCGGCACTTGACTGATTTTGTATCGCTTTGCATTCTGGGTTAACAGACTGGAAAGCGATAGGTCGCTTTTTCTGTCAATCAAGTAAACTCCTGAATTAAGTGGCAGGGAGGCCAAGGGAGGAGGGATCAAAACCTGTTTTGTCTATTTTAACGGAACAGGATTATTTTTTTTATGAATGACTCGCGATCTACCAGCATTGCCCCCGCAGTCGACCGGTCGCCCGCGGTCGACGTACTGGGCACCTCTGCCTTAACCTGATGAAACATTGCTTTGATGTCAGCCATTAAGGCAACTGGTTCTTGTCTAAATCTGATAAGGACTCCAATGAGTGAGTTTGTTAGATGTGGACCCTCAAGCAGTTGGCAGTTAAGTGATGTTCCTTTGAAGACAGCACCACAGTCAAAGACCACCCTTAATGTTCCTTTCTTCGAGTGATATACCCCATGGTGAGGTATATACCAACGCTTGTTATCACTTGGCTTTAGCTGGTTTACTGGTACCATTTCAGCATAATCGTTGTTGATCATTTCCGTCAGAAAGGAAGTGTATTCATCGTGAAATTTCTCATTTTTTCCAAACTTGCGTTTCAGGCCTTGGATACGCTGCTCAGCGACGCATCGGTTATTTGGCATGCTAGGATTTTCTTGTCTAAATGGTAAGTCTAGGCAGTAGTGTCCATCTGTGGTTTTTGCAGAGTGATTCATAATGTTCAGGAATTGTTTGTCTTCTCTGGACATTTCCTCTGTTTCCTTACTTGTATTTTCATTGAAGTCATGATTGTATTGTTTGACCAATAGCTCCTCTAGGTGTACCATGGATATCCGATTGACAGTAGCAACAGGGTGTCCATTAGCATCTCTGCTGTCGTTGCTTCCTTTTAGGGGACCATAGAAGACCCACCCCAGTAGGGTCTTTACAGCGTACGGTCCTTCTCCTTGGCTATTGATCAGCTCCCAAGGTTCCAATACCTTAGGAGAATTTGTCCCAATGCCAGAAGCAATTTCATTAATTTTGATGTCCTTTAAGTAAGGCCATTTTTCCAGATCTTCTTGTAGAGGAATATTGTGCTTGGAAACAGGCATGGTTTTATGTGTAAACACATCGGATAGTTGAAGGAAATTGTTTTCGTCCAGACTCGATATTTCCAAACCTGAGATATGATGACTAGACACAATCTTTCTCTGATTCCTTCTCTTTAGGAGAATGTTAGTCCTTTGTCCTGTAAGGTTTAGCCTCCTCATTAAACTTTCTGTGCAAAAGGTGGATGAACTTCCATGGTCCAGAAATGCATAAGTTTGTAACACTTTGTCCCCTTTGTGGCTCTTTACTTGTACTGGTACAATGGAGTTTTCATCACCGGCCCCAATGTGACCACATGTATGAGGTGAGATGACACTATTACTTTCCATTGGCTTCCCATTCTGTTTTGTGTGTTCTGCTTCCTCTCTTTTGCCTTTTTGTTCAATGTGGAGTATTTCAGGATGACTTTGATTGCACACATAACATGTCAAACGACTGTGGCAGTGTTTGCTCATGTGTCCTATTTTTAGGCATCCAAAACACACCCCTTTTCCTTTCAAAAAGTCAATTTTTTCTCTGTGTGTTTTCTTCAGGATGTGTGGACACTGCTCCAATGAGTGACCACTTCTTCTGCAGAACAAACACAAATGTAGGGAGTTGTGGCTTGATGGAGGTATTTTCATTCCATTCGTTGTTACATGTTCTAGCACTGGTGTTCTTGGGCAGGTAATAATTGTTGCAAAACTACTTCCCCTTAGGCTTGGTTTTCCCTTTGAAAAGGTAGAGATAACAGTTTTGATAGCTGCAGTTGGTTTATCATCCTGGATGCTTCCAAACAGAAGATCTGACAGTATCTTCACTTGCCTCTCTATGAAGCTAACAAGGTCAGGAAATGTAGCTCGATGCCCACGCTCTTCCTGTAGCTGACATGCTCTATTCCTCCACTTGTCTCTGAATTTGTAGGGTAGTTTCTGAAGTATGTGTTTCATGTTTGAAACAACATTCATTTCATCCATATAGGTGAGATGTTCCAATGCATTGCAACAACCTCTTAGGAACAAAGAGAAGGCTTGCAGTGCTTTCACATCTTCGGCTTTGATCATTGTCCAGGTAAATGCTTTGTTCATGTATGCAGTGGCGATCTTATGTTCATTACCAAAGTGCTCTTTAAGCAGCTGTTTTGGCCTTTGATAACCTTGAGCTGGAGGCAGATGTTGGCAGCTGCGCACTAGGTCCTGTGGTTGTCCTCTAGTGTATTGCTCTAGGTAATGCAGGCAGTCACTTTCATCATTAGTTTTCCGCTCTACTCCTCTTTCAAATGCACGGATGAAAGCTTCAAACTGCAATGGGTCACCGTCATAAACAGGAATGTCTCTTGGAGGTAAAGTAGAAGTGAGATGTTGTTGAGCCAGCATAGCAGTGTTGTCATTTTGCCTCTGGATTAGGTTATAGATGTCACCTTGATTACCATTGTTGATTACAGGTGGTGTGATGTCAACATGTCCCTGCACATGTGTCTGTATACTTTGTCTGGGAATAGAGGTTTGGGCTTGATGAGGCAAGAATTCAGTGGCCTGTACGTTAAATCTTGCTGTAGGGTTTCTGTAGTAAGAGCTCATCCCATCTGATGCTCTAGAGGTGTGTCTTGATCCCATGCTGAGCACGTTTAGCCTGGCATTGGCTTCTGCCAGCTTAGTTTGTATATCCAGTTGTTCCTTTTTGCCGTTTCACCTGTTCTTCCTGTTGTTCCAACTGTTGTTTCTGGTGTTTTAATTGTTCCCCTTCTACATCAAGCTCATGTTGACTGTTCAGTGCTGCCGCCCTTTCGATTAAAGCCGCCCTTTCTGCCTGGGCTTTAATTCGAGCAGAAGAGGTAGATGATGCGTGTGATGAACCAGGTTTGTATTTTGACTGAGGGTGTGATGCATTTGAAATGCTGTCATCAGGTCCGATGTCATCTGAGCTGACACTTTGTTCTATGGCACTTCCCACAATAGAGTGTCTAATTGCCTGTCCACTCTCAGATAACCACACATTTGCATCTTGTATAAATCCATCAAATATATGCATCTTTTCTTGCAGCCACTGCCTTTGCTTTCCCATTTCTTCTTCAGGCAGTTGAAGGTCAGTTAATGATTTGTGATTTTCTTTTAGTTCATCACACAACTTCTTAAATTCAACCAGTTTCAACTGTATTTCCTTTGCATTGTCTTCTGAGCTCATAAGCTCTTTCAGTACTTCCATTAACTTCTTTACTTGTTTGTAACTGAAGTTTCTTGCTTTTGGCAGTTTGCAATAAACAATTCCAATCCTTTGGCAGTGTGAGTGATAATCCTTTTTTCTCTCACAGATTGCAGTCCAACAGCGCCATCTTGTGACGCGACGTCAGATGTCACAGACATGATTAATGTTCACTGTCCCTTTAAGTTTCGTTCTCAGGAATTGTCCGTTAGCTGACAGCGCGCTGTTTCAAACAGCTGACAATGTTGCAGCACCACATCCATTTACTAAGCCATTGTCCAATACAGCTTAATATCTCTTTTACAATCTACTTATCATGCTGCACGGTGCACATACCCGGCCGCTTTCCCAGTCCTCTCTCAGCCTCTTCGGTCCTCGCAGGTGGGAACAATCTTCAGCTGATTGTGGCGTGTGCAGCTGATCCGTGATGAGAAGTCGATGGTGCAATAATCCAATTATTTGTTTTCCCCGAAAACGATCCTTAATCCAATTTGAAGTGAATCCAATTGTCCAGTTTCACTCAAAAGTGCGATTCCACTTAATGTAATGGCAATTTCCTTTTCCTATGTCCTATATATTTTTGCCGTTACTTTCACAGAAGGGTTGAAAAGTGATCCAGACGCAGACACAAACAGATGATTTTCCGGTCCTTAGTTGTGGTTTATGATGATGTTTATTCGTCTTTACATACCAGGGTTAATTTAGCGTTCTAGTGATTCTATGAGCATCTGCCGGGCTGGTGGAATCGGTATGCTCTTCTCCTACTGTGTCCACCCCTCTCCTGTCACCTATGACCTCCTTATATACACCCGGTGCAGCTAAACCCCGCCACCCAGTGTTCATAAATAATATTGCACTATACATATAACTTAAATAAACTGACACACCAACATCACCCACAAAATGGCTCCTACAATGACTTAAACATATAATCCAGGATACAAGCCACATAGTTGCACCTGCAAGGAGAATACAGAACAACTCGTTAAAAAATAAACTACTGAGTGTTTGAAAGCGTACAACAGTTTTATGATACTGCCCCATCTAAAACACAAGGGGATCTGACTTTATTACATTTGAGTTGAGTGTTTCGTCAACTTAATGTGTTGCTTAAAATAATACGTCTGCATACAGTATGTGACAATGTAACTAAGTGTTGCACGGCCAGATACGGCTCGAGAAGCTGACTCAGATAAGGAAATATTGTGATATCGATGTGAGATCGATGATCTGATTGATGATGTGATGTCAGTGTGATATGAATGATAAGTGCGACACGTCGGCGTCTTCTCTGCATACGGCAGTTTAAACTGCATTTCCTTTTTCCTGTAATATGACTTGATAGATTTAAACTCCGCACACTGAGCTCTGATCGGTCAGCAGGCGGTGCTTTCACTGAGTTGATCTCTTTTCTATAGACGCCGGAGGCGGGCAGCGTAAGATGAAAAAAAAAGTTATTTAGCCTTCCCAACCCTGAGCCTCACGCGCCGCCTATAGGCCTACTGTATACATACAAAGGCCATTCAAGCTAGAGTTCTTCTGGAAATGTTCACATCAGGCACCTTTAAGTTAAACAATACTAAACAATTAACACAGTAGGCCTACATTATGTGGATTAAACCACATTTATTTCGTTAAAAATAAACGAAATATGATTTAGTTTGAATGATTAAATGTCATTAGGCACCTTCAAGTTAAACAATCAGGTGCACACTTTAATGTGCCGCCACCTCCGGTCTCGGCTTGACTCGGTTTAAAGAATGCACAAATGTGTTTAATCGTTTATGTCAGATATGTACTAAGTAGCCTAAATACATTTGTTCCTGCTCAAGATTAGATTCAACTTTATTGTTATTGCACATATTGCAGGTACTGAGACAACGAAATGCAGTTTAGCTTCTAACCAGGGGTTCAACAAGCAGTGAAAAGTAATGTGCACAATACTACAGAAAACAATTAACACAGTAAATTATGTGGATTAAACCACATTTATTTCGTTAAAAAGAAACGAAATATGATTTTGTATGAATGATTAAATGTAGGGTGAATTGCCCTAATGTGGGACATTTTTGCATTTCAGACTTCGGGAATATATTGCGATATGAAGCCGATACAATAAATCAAAATCCAGTACCATTGCGAAATCCCCAGTAATATTAGACACTAATAATACAGTAAACTATTAACACTGTACATATTATTGTTTGCCCGTGGGATTAGGATGATCGGTAGTGAGACCCGTGCTGCATTTTCCTCCGGTCGGATGTGATATAAAAACAAAGCGATTATTTTTGTTGTTGTAAACTCACGTGGATTAAACTACATGTATTAGTGGATTAATTTCAACTCGCGAACATATGATACATTAAATGATCGTGAGGATGATGATTGATAATCGTTTGTTTGAGCCTGGATGTATTTCCTGATCTAAAAAGATAGCGATGGTTTTGTACTTGGCCGAGGCTATATACAGGACCGTCCTGTACACAGCTCTCTGAAATGGCTATATACAGGACGGTCCTGCACAGAAGCCCTGAAATGGCTATATACAGGACGGTCCTGTATATAAGGTCTCTGAAATGGCTATATACAGGATGGTCCTGTATAAGGTCTCTGAAATGGCTATATACAGGACGGTCCTGAATATAGCCATTTCGGAGCTTGTATACAGGACGGTCCTGTATATGGTCATTTGGCGTTGTGTACAGGACGGTCCTGTATATAGTCATTTGGCGTTGTGTACAGGACGGTCCTGTATATAGCCACTCCCTTTGTACTTACGCCAACGTGAATTAAACATTATTTT